CGATGGCACATGATAAAACACACATTCAGCATGTAATGCTGTTTGAATACAAGAAGGGAAACAACACCTCTGTAGCCACAAAGAATATCAAAATTTATGGAAATGTTTTGAATATTCGTAAGTGTCAACAATTTTTCAGCAAATTTTGTTCAGTTGACTTTAGCCTTAAAAATTGTGATGGCAGGGGCCAACATGTTGGAATTGATACTGATGCTCTGAAGACACTTGTTGAGTCTAACCCAAGGCAACACACTTGTTAAATGGCTCTGAAATTGCATGTCTCTCATTAAACAATATGTAGACATCTAAGGAATATGGGAAAACTCTATAAAGAAGGTGTTTGGCTGCCTCACGAACTCTCTGATGATCATCGTTTCCACTATGCGAACGTTTCTTCATCTCTTCTGGCACAAGAACCATTTTTGGACAAAATTGTTACCAATGATAAAAAATGGATTCTCAATGCTAATATTAAATGCCAAAAACAATGACTCAGTCCTAGATAAAAACCACTTCCAACACCAAAACCTGGACTCCATCTGCAGAAAGTGATGCTTTGCATTTGGTGGGACATCAAAAGGAGTAATTCATTTCGCACTCCTCAACCCACAGCAAAATGTCAATGCAGAAATCTATATTTAGCAACTGGAATATTTAAATCAAGCCTTTCATCAGAAACGTCCTTCACTTGTCAATCGGGAAAAGTGTTCTTCTTCTCCATGACATTGCACATCCACATGTTGCACATTTGACGCAACACAAGATTATGGAGTTGGGTTGGGAAGTTATCCCCCACCCACCATATTCTCCAGATAAAGCACCATCAGATTACAATCTTTTTTGTTCGCTACAACACCATCTTAATGGGAAAACGTATGCAAATGTGGAAGGTGTTAAAGAGGACATCGACACATTTTTTGCTTCAAAGCCAAGTGATTGTTTTAATCAGGGCATAAACAACCTAATTGTAAGATGGAAAAGCATCATCGATAATAATGGAGAATATTTCATTTACTAAATGTTTTGTTTTGAGATATAAGTTGTTCGAGTTTTTTCATTTAAAAAAAGTGACATAAATTTCTTGACGACCTAATACAATAAGCTTCGACTGAAAGAACACCCTACTGTAGCCAATTACGAGCTGCAGCTGACTTAAGCAAAAAAGTTTAACTTAACAGTCATCATTTCAAGTAGATTAAAAGCCACAATCTTTTTTTTAACACAAAACTGTCAGTTTAACATTCTTCATGAAACAGTGAAATAAAACAGAGTAACACTAAAAGTTCAATTAGAAATAAGACCTTCAAGTACAACAAAACATTACACAAGAACATTATTATCAGTCACATTTCTGTTCTTAACAACACTTGATTAATTAGACATATGACTTAGGAAGGGGAAAGAGGTGCAATTACACCAGTGATAATTTTTTCAACATTACAATTATTAGTGTCAGCATATATTTTATGTTTCATATTTATTCTACTGTATCACATCCTGCACACTAGGCATTATAGCTACTAAATTTACATCTCAGTGTTTCACAATAATGGTCTGTTATAATGCATGGAAGGAGCTCCTACATCAACTTTTGTTAAAGTGATGGGCACTACACAAATCAAAAGATCAAGTTTTTACGCAAGGTACAATGTGTGATTACTATCAAAACACCATCAAACAGTTTCTATTGATACCACAAGAAAAAATTGATTTAATGGCACCAGACAAACCTTCAAGTGGTAGAAATATCTTAAAATTCCTGGCTGGAAAATGAAACTTTGAACATAGTGCTACTGCTAAGGATCTTAAATAAAATGGAAGTTTAATGATACTACTCAACCTCTTGCTAGAAGCTATCAGTGAAATAGTATTGGGAGACAGAATGTTACAATAAAGTAACAAGTCAATTACTTTTAGATGGTTAATGAAAAAAAATCATATTTTATCCCCAACATTCTGATCAGTAGAATATGTATGAACACTTTCAGACCTCAACTTTAACTTTTAAAGAGACTAGAAACCAATTGCTAGTTTGTTTTTTAACTCTCAGCAAATTTAGGACTGCCACTAACAATATTACATAAAATTAACTGTATCTGTGTCATAATTACTTAATGTTAAATTAAATGTTAATATACATATATCCTATCTATATGCATAAATCTTCAGTGCAACATTTTGTTTTTAAATATAAAACTAATCACATGTGTGTTTTTATTTTAACTATTTCATAAAAGTTAGAAGATGCTATATTTCAACTGAAACTAGTATATCTAGGCCACAAGCACTTTGATAAACATTCTACAGTACACCAATGCTGACTGACACCCTACACTAAAAAGTTTAATTATTAAGAGATCAAGTTTAAATGCCAAAAGGCAAAGGACTTGAAGACAATCAGCCTAACATTTGTGGTATGTATAAATGAAAAAAAATGTAGGAAAAAACCTACAGTTTACATGATTCCTTTTTTATTATTCCTTTCAATGAATAACCAAACATGCTGTTGACAAAACTGTATTATAAAAGCCAGATGGTGCTCTTCTAGCCAGCTGGCCTACATGCTAATTGCCTTAGGAACCAATCAAGTGAGTCAAAGCTGTGGTCTTGCTATTCCATTTCATGATACCTAGCCTGGATACATCATTCAGTTGAAATGACATTTGCAAAATCAGTATGGCATTAACAAGAGAAACAAACTTGTTAATTGCAATTACAGTAGCCTTCTCTACACAGAATCTCACAATATATATAACTGAGGTGTGTGTATCACTGATATATTGATACTTGATAATAAGAAAGCTTCTGAAATGTGTACTAGAAATTTTTTATTGTAACTTCTTTAGTTCTATTAGCAAAACTACAACACTAACTAGCAGTTTACTGGTTAATTTAGAGCTCTGAATTTAGTCATATGTAATGTGACACAACAAATATCCTTTAACTATTTAACAATACAAATATTTTTATAAGTTAATACTGTAGTCCTCCTAACAGAGGCTTTGTACCAAAGGCACCCACCAAGGAATGTGATGACAATAAATCTTTAAAATATTTTTGTAATTTTTAGCAAGATACACTAGGAACTTTTACAAATGAATGAATACAACAGATCAGATGAATAGAAGAACATCTAGAACAAACAGCATAAAGCTTTTAACTAGGATTAATTATTTGCTATATCATAGAAAGGAAAATACTCAGAAATGTCACAACATTTAACCTCAAAAACAAATCATGCCCACATGAATGACAATAAACTTTATACAATGCAACCATGACTGTTTTTAAAATCTAAACATTTCATCAGATGATTATTGAAACTACTTGGAAATAATAATTTTGTGTTTATACTATCTATAAAAGACTTAAGTACAAGTTCCAGCTGGTGTAAAGTATAACCTTTTTACAACACATAAGCAATTCTGCTAGGAATTGTAAATGTTGAATACCTTAAATTCAATAGTCTACAATTACATAAATGTATTTTTTCTGTCTTTTTTTTTCCCTAGAAAATTGGATTGTTTCATATCATCATGTAATTAACTAATACTTAAAAATATGGGTCTTTTTCTGTTTGGTGCCCACCAGCAGATCATTTTGAAAATAACACCATTAATGCAATAAATCAATATATAATAAAACATTATATGATATTTATTTATTTAGTGAATTCTGCAATAATATTAAATGATATTTTTTGAATAAATCTTCATCTTTGTTTCAATTTCTCCATATAAATTCATAAAGATAAGAGTCAAGCATATGGCGATGAGTTCCACATTTATGTTTTGTGAGCACCAAATGAAAATGATCCAAAAATACTTAATTTACTGTGGATTATGGTTTGATTTTCTCTTATCTGTAAGATACAGATCTAATAAATGAAGGAAGTGTATTACAAAATAAGAAAATAACTAAGCTATTACGTTTTATTACTCAATCTCTTTAAACAGTTTTAATCACAAAATTGTTAATATTTTAAATACCAAGTAAAAAATTATAATCAAAGTCTTTTTCTATCTTATAAGTTGTATTCAGTTAACGATGTACAGAGTAATTCAGAATCTTCATGCATTTCAGTTGAAAAATAGTGCATCAAAACCTGAACTTGGTAATATGAAAAACATAAATAAATTATATGATAGATAGTTATTAGAAATATCTAGCATTCAGTAGTAGTATTACCAGGTCATACTTTCTATTCACAGTTTTCATAATCAAATTATTAAGACAACACATTTGAAATTTAGTATGCATCTAATTTATCTTTCAAAAATTAAGTACAAAACCATTTGACTAATTTGAATTTCTCCATTATTTAACTGGGAATGAGATAAACTACAACATGTTTAATGCCATATTTAAGAACAATGCTCAATATTGTTTTCTTATTTTAAGGAGTTTTATATCATTTTACATAGATCAATCAGCATACACTGTGGTCTCAGTAATCACCTGTTGTATTTCTTTTAGATTTCAACGCTGAACTTCAACTGTGTTCCAATTGTTTGACCTATAAAATTAAAACAATATTTACTACATTATACATAACTCATTTGTAAGCTATGTTATGAAAGTTGTGGTTAATAAAAAATTAAAACGCAAGTTTGTTACTAATAGTAATATAATACTAATTGCTATCAGTATTACTAACGAGTTACGTAATTTTAAATCACATAATTATAATATTGTACTTTGTACTTGTAAGTTGTAGTCAGTACAGTTACTCTAGCTTGGACCTAAATTTCTTGTATCACTGGCAGTAATGAATATAATTAGTCGAATTAGGGAACTAAACACAATACTGTTATTAGTATGTTATAACACAATGAAATATAATTTCCTGCCAAAAGCACTATCAAACGTTAAACAGTTTTTAATTCTCACTTTAGCTAAGCCTACCTCCAATATGGAGTTTGCCTTTATACTTGTTAAGCCTAAATATTAACTTTTTTAAAGAAACATTACATGCCAAGTTAACTTACGACGCGTTAATTTACAGTATAAAAAAGGTTAACACAGCTTCCTTGACTTCCGTCAATACATAGCTATTTGAATGTCATTGAAAATTGTACTTTAAATATAAAGATTAAAACACGAAACATATGGCAGTGATTTGTAACTACAGGTTAGTTTTCATACAAAATGGTTGCTTTATCCACAACCATAAACTTCAACCGCAGTTCAAAACAACAATATGGCGTGTGTAATTTTCTTCTTAAGATCTCGTTTTACACGAGAATATATGACTTCACTAGACGGCGAAAATTACTTTGTTAAAAGTCAAATAAAATCAGATAAACCTGATGTGTCAGTATATAAACCCATTTCATCTCTGTCACTCGTAAAATAGGGATTTCAGATATTGTATCAAAAACATTACCTTTATATATTTGTAACAAATTACTAATATATTCATCAAAGTCGTATGTTTTAATTGATATGCGGCTGATACTGGGCTAATCTGAAAAACGTACCATCGTTGCAAAAAAAAAGCATAATTTCTAAATAGATCACTGATTTAATATATTTTCAACAAAGATAAAATTGAAAATATAGTCTGCGATGTAGAGGCCTAATATATTCTTTGATTCGCCATACCCTCTGTCGTGGACTGTAGTTTCGTTTATTTAAGGCACATATTTAGATGTGCTTGAGATATTTATTGACATTTCATAGTTCGACGAAATTTTTTCACTCTTTGACCATCTCAAGCATGATATGTTTATAGCAGTTTGGTATGCAATGGTGTTGTTAGCTGGTTGTTCAGCTTTAGTTTTACATTTCGAATTAGGAGCGTTTAATGGACGTCAACGAACTTGGACAAACATATTGTTACGTCTCTGATCGTTAGTTAATTTTCCGTAAAAATTCTTTCCGAAGAAACTTTATCGATACAAGTCCTTTCTTAA